TTAAAGCTTTGCGATGCCTATACAAAGCAAAAGACTTCAGAGACTGATAACTTGCTCCCTAGCTCTTGGCCTGTTCATCAGTTTTGGAATTAACAAGATGGAAATTTGCAGCATATGAATGACTCAATTAAAGCATTCTCCAGGCAACACCTGCCTGTCCCTAGCATGCTATTTATAGGGTTGGTCCTGTTTCTCCTTTCTGCCTCCTTAGCGCACAGACGTCAGAGGCATAATCGGAATGGCTGCACATGGGTGGGACAGGTAGTTCTGCTGGTGATGCTAGAGGAGCCGTTTGTGATCTTGTCCCCTAAAGAGCGAACACAGCCAAGAAGAAGTACATTCAGAGGGGCAGTTTTTCAGAGGGCACCAAGACCCCTCCCCAAACTATCCTCCTTCTCATTGGCCATGCAGAGTAACACCTCCTTAGCTGTTGAGAAGGAGGCTTAGCACCTCCTCCCCCTGCTGCTCTGTCATATGGAATTATCTTCCTTTATTATTATGTGTCTCTAATGAAGCTGTCCCTTTGTTCTAGGATTTCATCACATGCTTTAAAGCTCAAACATTTTGCACAGAACCTGCTGCAGAGCATCATATCCTCTGGGATTCCTTTACCTACTTCCAAGCAGCCAGGAAAGGGATTGGCTTCCTTTGGTATGAGGTTTTCTAACTAGCCAGAAAACTAGATAGTAAACACCTTGAAGTCAGGATCTACCTTGAATGTGGAAGTGCCCTTCTCTTTGGCTATGACATATCCCATATCAAGTATTTCTCCTTCCACAGAACAAGCAATTGAGGGAGTAACCCCATGTCCAGTAATGCTGAGAGTCAGGGTGTTTTTTACAGTGTAGATATCCAGGGTTTCAAAGAACTGCAAAGAAAGATGCCCACAATGGTCAGCACATATAGCAAGCCACAATAGACACCTGTTTTGGAGTTTCTGGGAACAGTATAGACTAAGGGCCAAATGCTGGTAGCTCCTCACCGGTCACTTCATGGGTCTTTTGTAGAAACAGGCATGAAAAGGCTGCATCCAGGGCATGAGGATTATCAACTCCTTTGTGGGCACGACATTGACATCAGAGTTCTGCTTGCACAGGTCTTCAGGGCGGATGCTGGCTCACACTGGGGCTAAATCAGCACTTTTACACGTGCTCTGATGCGTTCTGCAGTGTCTTGTGCATTCAGTGTCCTGTGTTTCAAAATGGTGGTGGGGGTGCTTTAACTAAAGCTCTTCAAACAAGCCTTAGCTAAAGCGCCCCTGCCACCATTTTGAAATGTGGGACACCGAATACACAAGATGCTGTGGGCATTTTAATTAGAGTGGTTTCCAAGAACTGCTCTAATTAAAACACGTCCCCTGCTCCAGCCCCGAGCATGTGTATAGGCACCTGGAGCACGTGTATAGGTTTCCTTGTCTAAGAAATCTACAGACACCTATGCTTGACCCTCCAAGGCAGTGCAGTCTACTATGACCTATGTATGGAATTAATCTTCTTATCTGATTGTACATTACTAGAACAATTAAGCTGCTGCCGCTGTTCTGATAAGGCTTAGGTTCATACAGAGCTACAGATATTCTGTGCAAGGATGCTAAAGACCCCACCTCTGAGTACACTGGCTAGTTCCTTTCTCCACTGTAGATATTACTCTATTTCAGAAATGGTGTTATCATGGCTTACCAAAACTTCTGGGATCCTTTGTGAAAGGGAGTATATAAATGCATATGAAAGAAAAATGTGACAACTTTAAATGGGAAAGTTGCTCAGAATCTTTCCATTATGACATACTATTAAAGGTTTCTGCCTGCTTATTGTGTGTGTATGTGTAAGATCAAATTTCATTTTCACTCACCAATTTGTTCTCATCTGGACAAAAAGAAATTACAAGAAGCTGGTTTTTCCCTGGCTGAAGACACTCAACTGGATTGACCAATAGGAAAGGACCATGGGGATTCAGGATGGAGAAGCCTATCTGAAATACTATAGTTCAGGGAAACATAAGTATATAGGTGACAGATGAAAGAGAAGGCACAAGAACAGATCCAGATACAGCTCAGACAAATGATGCCTAAGCTAACTCATCATCTGAGGTTTTTTTATAGGATTAGTGAGCTAATCAGAGCATAGAAAATCTACCCAGGAAATTCAAACACCTGAAAGCCTTTTTTTCTTCTTCCAGTTAGAGACACTTCCAATAAATTCCATGAGATATTATTCCAAGTTATTGCCTAAAATATGACATGAATAAGTTAAACTAGCATATAAGAGAGAGTGTTCTCATTCTCCATCTTGATTAAGTGAGACAGTGCTAAAAGCACAGACATATTCCCACAAGATTTCTAGAAATTCAGTGAAGTCATGAGGCAGAACTTCACTTTTCCTCACTGTACTTCATATATCTTGTACTGGTGCTGGAACGGGTTGCACTGAACTAGTAATTTTTGCTCCTGAAAGGGCTTGCAGAAAGAGAATTAAGTGCCTTTTGATTTTGGGGTTTAAGTAGCTGTCAGCAAAAAGTGCATATAGCTTTTGTAGAAGCATATGAGTTGGGAAGGGAGCTTCCAAAGGGTCACCTAGTTAGGCCCTGAAAAACTGATTTTACCATCTACCAGGTTGTGAAAGATCAGCATCATTTGAACCATTCTGATTCCAGTAAAGGTCCTTTTAGAATCCCTCACGCTCTGGTGTTGAACAGTTCATAGATACAGGACCACATTCATGGACATGCACATTCAGTGCATTTATTTATGCACTGGGACCAGTGGATACTCCAGTCAAGGATACTGCTAGCTGCTCATCCAAGATGTTTTGTATTGTAATTTGTTTAGTTATTCTGTGCCCTGAAATGAATAAGAACACCTCTTTACACATGTCAGAACAACAAAAAGCAGCAAGCAGGAACACTAAACAGACCCTTCCTGGTGTTGATTCCAATGCTGACAACTGCTTCTGTCCTAATATTCATCACAGTCCAATTGCAAAGAATGTTCAAGCAAGTAAAACACCATTGTCCATTTCCAGGATGGGCTAGTGAAGAGTTTCTGAGTTAGCTATAAGCAAGATGGAAAGTAACATACCTGCCATTTCTAGTCTTCCCAAGCCCAGAAATGGAAAGACCAGGCACCTCTCAGATTGCTGTTATGGACTCTTAATAGGTCTAAGACTTTTCACGTATTTTATGGCATTTTGCCTGAATGAGATTTCCTAAATATGATACATGTAAATGATGTCATAGCAGTGATGGTCCAAGGATATCGAAAAGCAAGATTTGTGAGATGAGATAATATATTTTACTGGACCAATTAGGAGAGAGAGGAGACAAGCTTTTGGGCTTTAGATGCCCTTTATCAGGTCACAGTCTAAGCTAAGTATGAGCTCAAACATTTGCTTTAGTTTAAATTTATTACCATATTTACTCAAATCCAAGACAAAGTGTTTTTTTCCCCTCAATCAGCATGAGGGGGAGGAGGAAACCTTATCTTGGATCCAAGTACTGGCCGGGGTCAGGCAGCAACTCCACTCTGGTTTTGGCCCTGGATTTAGAGCTGCACCACCACCTGCCCTGGGCTATGCCTCCTAGTTTGATGGGGGAGAAGGCACATGGCAGGGGAGCCCACAGGTTGTGGGTGAGAGTGGCAGAACCTGCAACCTTCCCTCCCACCCATACCTGTGCCTTCCTCCCCTGCCTCTTGCTCCTTCCTTTAGCTTGCCCTGCCATCCCCTGCTCCCCTCCCCCCAGCTGCCCCCTCTATCTTCCCCTTTGACTCTGGTCCTTCCAGCCCCAACCTGGCTGGGCTGGATTGGAGCCAGGCAGGGGCTGGAGAAGAAAAGCTGCAGCAGAATGCAAGGGGGGAAGGGTGTGATATGGGATTGTGGGAGTGCAGGCATGGGGGGCATGGAGGTGGGAAAGGCAGGGGCTGGGGGAGGCAGGAAGTTGGGGGGCAGGTGGAGAGAAAGGGCAAAGACAGCAGAAGGCATGGCAGGGCAGGCAGCAGGCAGCCATGTGGCAGGATGACAAGGAAGCAAGAAATGGCAGTCTGGCCCCTTACTGCAGGCATGGCTTTCCCCACCAGACAAACTTAAGATAACCTTCCATTAGATTCAGTACATGAAAATTATAACGAATTTATAATTTTCTATATATAGAATCTAATTATTGCAGGGGTGGTCTTAATTCAAAGTTGTCTTGGATTCAGGTAAATATGGTATATTAAATTAATTCGACCATTTGATAGGGAAGTGAGGAGTTATCACTCATAGAGCAAAGGCAAGGTAGCAGAGGAAAGGGTGAGAGGTAAGTTATAATGAGCCATAATTCAATAACTTACAATTCATGGCTTCTGGTGTTCAGTAAACTTATGAATTTATTTTCCCAGATTTGCTTTCTGAAGGTGTTATGTGTATTTCCTTTGAGGACAAGGACTGTGAAGGCAGACACCGAGAAATGGCCTCCCACTGGAAATAGGGTATATATCTATTCTTTCTCATTTTTTCTTTGGTAGTTAATGGGAAGTTTCTTGGAAGTTCTTTGGAAGTTTCACCACATAGTTTTTGCACAGGATAAGGTATATCACATGTTGTGGTAGGCATGTGTAGGACCCATGATTTCTGAGGGTTTTATGATGGTATGTGTTGATGGTGGTGGCTGCAGAGATGTGTTAGTAGGTCTTACATTTGATTTGGCAAGGTTTGGTTCCAGGTTTGCTCTGACAAATCTGGTGGAGTCAGGGTGGTGGTGGTGAGGGTTATGATATCCCTGCCATATTTACTTAAATCCAAGATGAAGGCTTTTCCCCCCCATTTAACATAGGGATAAAAATCCCTCATTTTGGATTTGAATATGGGAAGCTGCTGTGGCTCTGGCTCCAGGCCTGACTTGGGGTCATGGTCAGAGCTATGACTGCTGCCTGTCCCTCTCCACCTCTGCCCTCCCACCTCTCACCTCACACTGCAGCCTCTGCCCCTCAGTCTGGAGCCCACCAGAGCTGCTGCCACTCCTGCAGCTTCTTTTGCGCCAGGCTGGGACTGAAGCAAACATGTGCTCTGTGCCCTGGACTGGAGGGTGGTCAGAGCCCCAGCAAGTGTAAGCAGTGGAGGGGAGAGAGGGGGAGCAGAGACAGTAGAGGGGCAGGGGAGGCAGAGGCTGCAGAGGCAGAAGAGCAGAGGGGCCAGGCACTGAAGTGGGGAAGGTGCTGGTGGGGTAGGCATGGGGGTGGGCAAGTTGTAGGGGGGCCAGCATGGGAGTAAGAGGGGCAAGCAGCAGATGGAGCAAGTGGAGTGGGGGCAGGCAGCAAAGGGCAATCTGCTTCAGTCCCACACCATCAGCCCATACTGCCTGGTTCCTACTACCTCCCCCACTGCCTGCCCCCCCGCCACTGCTTTCCCTGCTGCAGCAGGAAAAGGAGCTTGATTTAACCCAATAATTAGATTCTATACACTGAAAATTACAAAAAATCTATAGGTCTTCCATGTATAGAATCTAATTACTGGGGAGGCGGTATCTTACATTCAGAACTGTCTTGGATTTGGGTAAATATGGCAATTTAAACTAAAGCAGCTGTTCTAACTTGCATTGAATTTGGCCTGGGACTGCTTCTTTCCCAGACCTGAAAAGGGGGCTGAAGCCCAATAATTTGTCTCCTCTTTTTTTCCATCTATACAAGTTAGTCCAATAAAAGATACTACCTCACCTCACCAGTCATACTTGTAAATCAATATTATGCAGCCAGTGTGGCTGTGGTGAAGGCTCCATAAATTACATGGCTAGTATACCGGCTAGTACTTTCAGTAACTGCATTGAGTTCTCAGAACACTAGCTAGGTAAAATATTATACCCAGCAGGGGAAAATGCATCTTCACAACACATTTACTGGTGGATGTTACTAGCAGTTACTTAAGACAATAAAAACTAAAAGGGGAACTGAGTTCTGTTCAACTGCATCAATCCATAACACACAGAACTATATTTTATTAACAATTCTCCCTCTTTAAACCTTCACTCAGTTCCTCTAGCTGGAATACAGTCAAAGTGAACACAGCATTTTCAAATTAGGTTGATCACAATTAGGGCCCCTAATTCCATGTCATGGGCATCAGGTGGTCTGTTCAACAGGGCTGCGTGAAATTTTGCTAGGTGTTTCATTTTGAAGCTGTTTCGATGCGTTTCAAGCTCAAAACAGCGAAATCAAAATGAATTGAAAGGCTTTGAAACAGCTTTGAAATTAAAATGAGGGCACTCAAAATGTTTCAAAAGTTTTGAAAATGTTTTAATATCAAAGCCAGGCTTGCTTGCAGCTAAACAAAAATTAAAGTGAGGGAGGGAGAAGAGGGGGAAGGACTGCTCTAATATTGACATCTAGCTCCTTGAAACTGCAGCAGCAGCCTGCTGAAACCCAGCGCACAGATCCAGGGGCCCACGCCCCCCCAGGAAGAGCTGGGGGAATGATCAGAGAGCTGGGAGAAAGCAATCAGAGAGCTGGGGAATTGAACCAGGAACTGGGGGGATATTCAGGTCCCTGAACATTGAGTTCCTGGTTGGATTCCCCAGCTCCCCAATCTTTCCCCCAGCTCTCTGATCGCTTCCCCCAACTCTTTGGGGGGGGGGCCATGGGCCCCTGGATGATGCGGGATGACAGCAGGCTACCACTGCCAGCTGGTGATCGCAGTGGCTCTGGGCTATTTCCCCAGCCGGCAGCAGCAGCCTGCTGAAACCCCACATGCAGATCCGGGGACCTCCACCCTCCGGGAGGGCTGCAGGACTGGGCCGGACTCTTTCCTGGGGGTGCGGGCCCCTGGATCTGCACACAGGATGGCAGCAGGCTGCCACTGCTGGCTGGGACCGGCAGTGGGTGCCGCCCGCGCTGAGTGCCGGGAAGACTGGTGCTGCTGCTAGCCCCAGCTGGCAGCAGTAGCGTGCTACCATCCTGTGCACAGATCCTGGGGCCTGCACCCCTTGGGAGGGCTGTGGGGCTGTGCCAGCCTCCTCCTGGGTGGCGCGATCCCCTGGATCTGCATGCGGGATGACAACAGACTGCCGCTGCTGGCCTGGACCAGCGGCAGCATCAGTCTTCCTGGTGCTCGGTGCAGACTGCGCTAAACGCTGGTCCCAGCCAGCAGCAGCAGCCTGTTGTCATCCTGCATGCAGATCTGGGGGTCCGCACTCCCCAGGAGGAGTCTGGCACAGTTCTGCAGCCATCCCGGGGGGGCACAGGTCCCCAGATATGCATGTGGGATGACAGCAGGCTGCCGCTGCCAGCAAGTGATAAGAGTTTTGCTTTGAACTGTTTGAGGTGTAGTTTCCCAGAAACTCCTGCACCTACATCCTTGGAACTTGGCAGGCTCCATGCACTTAGAAGAGGCTACTATCCCTGCAATTCTCATCTGAATCAGTCAGGAAATGACAAAGCTATAGGCATTTTCATGATTCCTCATTATAGCCTATGGGCGAAACGTTGAAAAGTGTCGAAACAGCATTGAAACAGGGAAACGGTTTCGATGAAATTAAACAGAACAGTGCTTCGAAACAGCGAAACAAAACACTGTCCCTTTGAAACAGCAAAACTGAAGTCAAAACGAAACATTGCTGTTTCTCACAGCCCTACTGTTCAATGCCTGATGTGTTAATCTGGGATCCTAATTACCATTTGGGTGCCTACACATGGCCTCTATTTGTAAATTGCATCTACAGTGAATAAGAAAGTCAGAATAAAACTATGTTTAAAATAAATAAAAAACTCAAAATGTAACTTAAACTTCATACCTACTGCAACCTCCCCAAAGTTGATGATGTTTTTTCCATTATCTGACGTGATCACAACAGATGGTGCTACCGCAGGACAGTGCAATTCTAGGTACAAGGTGTTATAAGGACTGGGGAGATGGAAAAAATGTTTGCTCTTAGATCATACAGAGAATAAAATCTGGTGTTATAAATCTGCTCTTATTCTATGTACGTGGGGGTGGAGCAGTACATCAGTTTAATATAATTCTTGGCAGCTGCTAATTTTCTTGCATCTGCATAAGCAGAAGAGGTGGACTGGATATAACTTATAAACTTTACACAATAAATATTCTCTAAGCTGGTTTGACATTAGCAGGCTAGATTCTTATCTCAGTTATACTGGTTTAACTTCCAAGAACTTCCACTGATTTATGGGACAATTAAGATCAGAATCTGGCTTTCCCCAAAACAGAATAATCGCTATTTCAACAATTCTTTCAACATTCAGTCCCCTACTTTCCTCTGATCTTTCTGATCTGCTACAAATTACTTTTCCCTAGTTCCATGCTGCTCATGTATATAGTACCTGTAGTTTAAAGTTTCAGAGCCTCTCTTTTCATCAATATCTCCACTTGCAACAAAGCAAGGTATGATGTATTTCTCAAACTTCCCTCTGAAATTTCTGATCAGGGAAGACTGGGCTGCCATATATTCTTCACAGCTAGAGAGTCCAAGAAAATTATTTTAATAAGAGACAACAAAATTTATATAGTAACAGGAAACTTTAGTCTTAATAGTACCAAACATAATACCTGCACTGGAGACCTGACCTACTGGGCTATTTGCACTTATTCTTCATTTATCATTATGTGGTTTCCTTCTCTATTGCGTTAGAGAGAACAAAATTCTGATTTAAGATACTTAATGTCACATTAGAAAAGACAGGAAACTTCTTAGTATATTTTTCCCATGATACATTTTCCAGTGACTCTTTTAAAATTACAGTAATGCTCCTAAATCATATTTCTATGATATGGTATGCCTGGCAATGTCTCAAAGTTTTCAGATATGCAATTAATTTGTAATGAACTGTACTACTACAACTGTGCTAATACAAATAAGACCTAAAATAAGGTACTGCTGAGCCATCTACAACATGTGTAGCCCTTGTGTTTGTCTTCTGCCCTGGAGGGAATTTTATTTCTGTGAAGGTTTCTGCCCTACTCACCACGGCACTGGCGCCTATGTGGCTGGTCTGTGGACAAGCTGGCCAGCACCACATGGCCTGAAGGAGCTCCACCAGTTGGCCTGGGCCCTGGGAGCCTTGGGATTGAAGGAAACCCGAAGACAGAAACCAGGGGAGAGCACTTGGATTTTTAGCTGTATTGCAATTTTCAGAGCATACGGGACAGCAGTAAGACCTCCTGCAGTCATCATCTTCACTGAGCCTCAGTGCAGGAGGAAAAGGCCCTGTCACCGCATCTGAGTGTCACCCAGGCTGATCATAAACATGTGAGTGGAAAGGGGCAGGGTTGGGGGAGGAGGAGCCCCACAGAAGACATGCCAATAGAGTTACCCTGGGCCCTGCAGGAACCATTGATCACCACCTCCAGAGGTAAATCCCAGTGTAAACAGCAAGTCATGCCAGGTGAATAGACCCAGGTGTGACGTGGCTCAAGGGGCAGGGCACACCCATTGGCTGGTATGGTGGTCATGAGCATGTCACAATTTCATATTACTACGATTATTTCATACTTATTTGAAAGAACTGCATAGTTTGCCTTTAGCTTCTGTTATTAAAACTTTAAAATCAGACTCTTCCTTGAAAAATAGGCCAACCGCCCTTGTAAATTAGTATCACTGTTGGTTCAGCTGACTTATAGTACAACAGTGTTTGGTGCTGTGTAGTATGTTATTTCAAGTCCTCTTATATTTGATCCATAAGGACAGATTCTGTGTCTCACAGGAGATATTCTAGCCACAGAGACTAGAAGCAATGCTAATTTTGGAAATAACCTTTACAACACAGAAATGACCATTTCACTCCTTGAATTAGATTCCTTGCTTGGCCATAGGGTATAGTAGATTAATGAAACCATTTTGCTGCATTGCATTTGTTTGCTGCACAGTAAAAGCGGCTGTTACTGACTTACTGAGGTTTTATATCTTCTGGTTTCGGGAGCTCAATGCCAGATGTGGTCAGATGTTTACTGTCTCTGTCCTTGGAAAGGTGTATGCTAGACAGTCGTTTGATACCAATCATACTTGCTTTCCTTCCTTCCCTTTTCCCAGCCAAAGAGTCATCTTTTTTCTTATTCTGTAAATATATAAGTACAGCCCTTTACGCACCACACCAATTATATATTAAGGAAGAGATTTTGAAATTATGGGATTTTTTGTATTTCAACAATGCCTACAGGTCCCAATCAATAATTATACAGTGTTATACAGTCACATAAATAAAAGATAGTCCCTTGCTTATGATCTAGGTATATAAACATGAATTGACACATGGATGCACCAGAACAGGGTAAGAACAGTGATTAAGGTGATAAATAATGGGCACAGTTTACCAGCAGCAAGCAGTTACATGTAGGATAATAGAACTAAAGAAAAACAGGACATTTTAAACTCAGCGCACCTTCATTCTATCTCAAAGCACACATCCCCTATGAGAGTAAATGGATGCAACTCTGCTAAGTGTAATTGCTTTTCATCCATTCATATCAGCTGGGCCCTTGTGTAAATTTATTGGAATCACTGAATAATATTATCATTCATATTCCATATATCGCATTATCTAGAAACTAAAGCTTTCAAAAGTGCTCAAGTTACTTCAAATGACATTTTCAAAAGCTCGTAAGTTGCTCCAGTATTTTTTTGGAAATGTTGCCTTATGACTTATTTAGTTATGGCCTGATAGCATTAACTATTACAGCACAGTTGAATTTTGTCTGTATTGATACTCCGTGCCATATGCCTAGGCTTCATTTATTGTACTTTTAATTGCAAATACATTTCATTTTAACACACATCCTACAGTAAAATGAGTATCATTTCCATGTTAGGGTTGGCTGACTAACGTGTTGGTTTTTACATTTCTTACATTTACTTGCATTTCTGATTCACGCATCCTCTTCTCTGAAAATGTCCTTGTTGCAGTTGCTCTACTCAGCATCTGAACTGCCTCCTTTCTGATTTGCTGATCTGACAGTACTGGTCTGAAGGATACTTGAATCAAGCATTTCTGGGATTGGAAGAGCACATACATGGGAGTCATTAGAGTGCAAGTTAACAGCACCTAGGGACAGAGCAGAAACAAAAAGTACCAAGGGGCTTTTCCCACTGAGCTCAACAGGAGCTGTGAGAGTTTGTTCCTTAATAACTTAGACCCTTTAGAACCAAGTAAAGAGAATCTAAGGGAAAAGGCCACAGCGCTACAAAGCTTTTAAAATACCCCAAGTCTTCTATACTTAAATGCTCTTCAGCTAAACACATAATTATAATAATATTGGTTAAAAGCCATCCCTGGGGACCTGTCGAATGAAGTAATGTGTGTTTGTAGATTCAAGGCCTAGATTCCCATTAAAAGAATATTCCTTCTAGCTCAGTCACAAGAATGTGTTAGCTCCATACTAGTAAATAGCATGGCTAGGTACAGACATTCAAAAAGTCTGAGGTGGAAACCATCCAAGTTACACAATTTTCTGTAAGCAGTATAGTTTAGGTCAGTAGTGAACACATTCACCCTTAGGTGGGGGAGGTGAATCTTAGATTGGGTTCCACCATTTTTAAAGGGTGTGTTGAACTTCTGTTCTAAGTATAGACCAGTTTTGTGTGCCAAACTTCGGTTATATTATGAGTATAGACCAGTTTCTGATCACTTATACCAGTAAATGTAATGTCCATACCTGGCTTTTGTGCTTCTGTTACAAATTTAAAAAACTGCAAGGACAGAGATGATTAAAGGGTTTTATTTTATTCAAATACTTGACATGCTAAGAGTAAATTTACCTTCCCTGGCAACACGGTCCCAACAGATGGCATGACTGTCACAGGAGAACTTTCTGGCACATGAAATTCAAAGGAAGTGGGTCCAACAGGGGCAGTTTGCCCTTTGCCAATTCTTGGGACAGCATGAGTAAAGCGGTTAAGGCTGACATGTGAATTTATCACATACAGTGTTGCTGTAGATACATCATTTAAAGCTGTTGCAGCAAACTGAACTAAGGAATGAGACAACTCGAGAGGTGGGTGGACTCCAACTGCTTTGCATGACAGCTTGAATTGTCTAAAAATAAACACACCATAAATTGTCTCAGCATAAACATAGCTTTTTAAACAGCCCAGAAACCTAGGAAACTGATCCTGCTGTCCTAGGCAAGAAGGAATCTCAGTGGCTGCAATGGGAATTTTGCCCAAGGATGGTAGATCCAGGCAAATACGGTTTCTGTTTATAAAAATGTACAATTTCCTGGAGAGGACCTAGATGAATGGTCTCTTTGAGCTTTTGCATATATGTCCAGTGAGGTCACATCTGACAGTGACATCAATTGCATGGATATGGACTATCTTTAGAAGAAATCTATATGCTGCCAAAGTAAAGCTTCAATAATTCCACAAAGAAAATATTTCTGGTGAAGAAAATAAGAAGCAACCATACAGTTCAGGAAATATGACCACATTGGATTCTGGGTGGGACAGGAGAGAAACCAAAATGCAAAGGCAAATAGCCTCTCCCATGCATGTTGGGACTTAATCAGAATATAACCTTGCATCACACTAACATTTCTATACTAGCTACTATTCTATTAACATACCTGTTAATTTCTGTCTTGCAGATTAGCTCAAAGCTGTAGTCTTTTGCTTTGTTGGCTTTAAAGATTATGTCCAAGTTCAGACTTTCAAGGGGCAGGAGAGTCCCAAATCCATCATCAGGCTGAATTTCAACAAACTTCCAAAGGGCAAAAAAGTAAAATCCAGTTTTATTAAAATGTATTGAAACTTGAGGTGCACTGGTACATTGATCGCATATCGGATCAGCACCGATATAAGGAAAATGTACTATATTGGCAATCGGCTTGTTTTGGCTGATGTGGCCAATAATGCGGCTGATAAATGCCCCGTGAATGCAGGCAGCCGCAGTGCAGCATGCAGGCAGCGGGGAACACAGTGTGGCAGTGTGGAGAGCTGCCGGGTCCGGTTGGTAAGTCTGCTGTAGTGGAAAGGGTCGGGGGAGGGAAGGGGTGTGGTGGGGGGAGATCAAGGCCCCTGCGGTGAGGGAGGGAGTGGGGCTGGGACAGGTGCTACCCAGCCAGGTTGGGGCAGGGCACGGGATGCTGCTGCGGTTCGTCCGGGGGGCGCGGGGTGGGAGTGGCAGCTCCTGCCACTGCACACACCCTGAGAAGGCATGTGCCCCCAAATCTGTGTGCAAGGTGGGGCAGGCTGATGCTGCAGGCTGGGCCTAGGTGGCCACTGGGCTCTTGCTGGTGGGAGGGGCTGGGCCAGGCTGAGCTCGGGGCAGGCTGCAATGCTGTTGAGAAGTGAATTTTGGGGTGGCTGCAGCCCTCCCCGCCCCCAACCCCATCCCAGCACTGCATGCCCTGAGCACAGCTACCCTGCCAGGAAAAGCCCAGTGCAGCCCTGGCCCCAGCTCACACCAGCAGCCCACCCTCGCCCCATGTGCAGATCCTGGGGCACACACCCTCCATGCCCTCCTAGGGGTGTGTGCAGCAGCAGGAGCTGCACCCCCCCAGATGAGCTTCTTGTGGCTCCATCCTATGCCCCAATCCCGCTGTGCAGCACCTGCACCTGCCCCTGCTCCAGCCCCACTCCCTCCCTCACCGTGGGGGCCTCAATCGGTCCTCCCCATGCCCCTTCCCTCCCCCCACCCCTTCCACCACAACAGACTTGCCAGCCAGATGCTGCTCTTCAAGCTGCCTAGCTGCATATTGGCAACTGGATCAGTATCAGCCCATATGCCTTGGCTATCGGTATCGGCATAAAAAATCTCTATCAGTGCACACCTAACTGAAACATCCTAAAATCAGAAAAACAAGACCTCTTCCTCAGCCAGCAGTATTCATGAATGGAAAAAAATTCCTTCCTACATATGACCAGCAAAAATCCTAAAGTGCTGTATTGCCACAAACCTTCCACAATACAAAAAGTGCTCTCTCTATCCCAACCTGGGGACCACGGACACATGACTCCATGTCTCACACCCTGATCATTAAGCCAGAGCTCCGGCCCTTTCATAAACTCATCTGGTTTAATTTCAAAGCAATTCAGGTTGTTTGCCCACATTACTTTATTTGGAAGACCATTTCAAAATGTTATTCCTCTGTGAGCTAGAAATCTTTTTATTTTTAATCTAAATTTACCCATGAGTTTATAACAATTTGATCTTGTGGTAGTGTTGTTCATTAGCTTAAAAAGCAATTCTCTT